GGCCGCCAAAGCGGAGCATGCGAATTTAACCACTACGCCACCAGGCCAGCCCCCAGAATTGCTTTTCAAGTTGATGAAAATGTTCTAAAATCCACTGTGGTGCTGTTTGCACATACCTATGAGTACACTAAAAAAATCATTGAATTTTACATTTTAAATGGGTGAATGGCATGGTATGTGAATTGAATCTCAATAAAGCTGTTTAAAAAAGAAAAAAATGAGAGAAAATGAAATCATTCCAAGACAATAGAGAAGATTAAAAGGCCAAAGATGGAAACTGTGGATGAGCCACGTGAAAGGACAAGGGAAAGAAGATGACTCCGTGAAGACATCAGCAGGAGAAGGACAGAGCCAGTGGAGGGTGTCACAGACAGTAACAGAGAAACTTTCCAGGACAGTGTGAGAAGTAGAGGCAAGTGCTACAGAAAAGTCAAGTAAGGAAAGGATTAGACAAGACCCAATGGATTTGATTATAACCAAGTCTCTGGTCACTGGAGATCACAGGCAAGTGGGGAGAGAAACCAAGGCCTCATGCACAAGTTTAGAGTGGGATGGGAAGCATTGAAACACTTGAAAGAGAACAGGATTTTAAACTGCTGAGCTGACAATTTTAACAGGATTTTAAACTGCTGAGCTGACGATTTTAAACCGTCCTGAAAATCACGGGTACTCGAAATATTTATGGAGAGTAATTTTAAGGATAGTCATTTGATCCATCAGAAAAATGTCTCACGCAATCCCTGTGTTTGAGTTTCCGAAAAATAGTATTGACTGAGTTCACATTCAGCATTACGTCTTCTACCTTTACTGAAGAACAAGTAGAGGCAACACTCTATATTATTTTAGGGTTATCACTGGAAGTTGTTAACTAAATCACCTACTCGAAAACAACAAAGATATTTTTTTATCTTCAATTGTCTTTATATCCTATGAGGAATCAGTTTGCTTTATCTTCTCACCAATGTTAACCTTTAAAGAATTATCATGTCTGATACCCTGACACGGCTATCAAAAACCTCAGAAATAAATGTGGAACTCCAAACATAGTACATTTGTAACGTCAGAGGACCTGCATATATCCACCCGCCACCTTTGCTGTGCTCTCCAACTGTATTTCTATATCTTCTCTGAACGCATCTGATCCGTTTCTATTTCTACTTTTCCATGTTAATGTACAGACACTTAAGCCCTTATAAAATCCATTGTAACACAAACAGGTTATCAAAACTCGAACTCACCTGAGCTATGTTCATTTTCTGCTACTCCTGGAAGAATGTAAAGAACTGTGAAGGTTCAGCTGGGGAGGAGGAAAGAGAAACGGGGTCATGAGAAACCTGGTCGGTCTTACAACTCCTACATTCATCTGCCTAAAACTCTCATAACACGAGCTGGAGAAAAGCCTTCCCTATGGGAAAATACCCCTTGGACATTCTTGAGAAGGGGCAAGAAGGAACACACAGAGGTAGCACCACCTGAACGTGCACATGTATCTTCGATATGACTACGTGGACTTAACCTTGCATTTTCACTGAGTAAGGTAAACTGCTTTTTCTTGATGAATTAACAATGTATATCCTCTTCTGACTAATTAACAACAACAAAATAAAACAACAGAGGATTAAACAAAGTCAGCAGCACCAGAGGTGAAACCCTCCACCTTCATTAAACCTAATGTTGTCAAAAAACTACTCAGGCTGGATTATTAATCAAGTTCTTGTCTTTCACCTTGAGTTAGAACTTCCACAGAAAACTCCCAGATAAAGATGGGATGCTTCATGCAAGAAATAAATTTGTTTAACTTTTTGTTCTAAATTGGTTGCAGTTTCTAAAAAAGGCCTTCGGATAAGATGCTTATAGTACTCACACGCGTGTAAGTCAGCAGCACCACGCTTAGTTCTTGGTTCTGTCCTGGCTGACTCTACAAAAACCATTCATTTCAGGCCTGATAGTTTTGGGCTTCCAAAGGCGCCCAGTGTAGAAAACCCTTCTTCTACTATCATTTCGTTATTCTCTACGTTCAGGAAAGAGGCAGCATCGGCATAA